TAGCTCAAAACTTTTGGAACGCCGATGTATTACGGAAATGCCATGGAATCCTAGTTTCCGTCACATTTTACATGTCTTGTCCATTCGGTTCTCCACAATCGGGGTAAGATCCCTATATAATCTATATATATATATATATCCTTACATATCCCCATATTTTCCCCACAATGATTGCAGATGCCTTGTCCCGTTCCACCCGACTTTCAGCAAGGACCTGGGAGAGCATTCTCTTCCACATGGAGCAGATGGGCCAGTGGGGAAGAGACATGATTAGGTGTGGGGGGGGGGGGAGGGTTTAAGCTTTAGGGCTTAGTTTAGGGTTTAGGGTTTGGAGTTTAGGATTTAGGGTTTAGAGTTTAGGATTTAGGGTTTGGAGTTTAGGGTTTGAATTGGGGGATATGAAGGGTTACATATAGGGATAAGGGGACTTGGATTCTAGTATATTTGGGGTTTAGAGAAGTTTAGAGTTTAGGGCTTAGATTACTGGTTCAAAGTAGGGGATCAGGGAACATTATCCTTATACAGTACAATTAATCCCTGTATACTACTATATTCCCAGCTTCCCTACCAAGAGCCAGTATACCCTAAACCCTCAACGCTAAACCCTAAACCCTAAACCCTAAACCCAAGCCACTGATAGGCACTGGGAGAATCCCAGCCAGTCCTCGGAGCTCCAACTGTCCCGCGCCTAGTCTGGGTGATATAGGTAATATCTAGGGAGTTAATAGGGTTTATACAGGGTTTAGGGTTTAGGGTTTAGGGATATATAGATATAGGTATTATATAGGGAATACATAGGGATTAGGGGGTTATATAGGGGCTATATTGTGGCAAACACAGCCCGTGCTTTTGTGGAGACACATGGCAGCTCCCCTGAATAGGGGGGCCCCAATCTAGACCCCAGAATAGCCTACTTTTTATGCGGGCCCTCAAATGGTATCCATTTTTTTGGGAAACCCAGAACCCTAAACCCCAAACAGTAGCTTCCATTTCCTTGTTATTATCCCTATATAACCCCATAGACCCGTATATACCCCTATATAATCGCTATATACCTTAGGAGGACCCCCACCCTGTAATAGTGGTATAATAGGAATATAACAGGACCCTAAACCCTAATCCCTATTACCCCCTATAGTCACTATTACTGGGGGTCCACCTAATACATCGAACCCTATATACCCTATATAATCCCTATTTAATCCCTACATAATCCCTACATAATCCCTATATAATCCCTATATAATCCCTATATGATCCCTATATACCCCTATAACCCCTAAACCCCCACATCTGTTGCAGGTCCACAGGCGCAGTGGCCAACTCCACCGTGCAGGCAGACCTGGCGAAGGTGAATTCGAGTTGCGTTGCTGCAGATCCACTGCCTGGGTGCCCAGACTAGGGTTTAGGGTTTAGAGTTTAGGGTTTAGGGTTTAGGGTTTAAGGTTTAGAGTTTAGGGTTTAGGGTTTAGGGTTTAGAGTTTAGGGTTTAGGGGTTTCCCAAAAATAGGGGTACCTTTTTTGGTGGTTCCCAGAATAAGGATTAATAGATTTTGGGGGTTATATTGGGGTCCCCTATTTTGGGAAACTACCACTTACTGGGGGGCTAGTAGGGAATAAGGGAAGACATTTGATAGGGTTTTCGGTTTAGGGCTTTGGGTAGGGAACAAGGGAATATACGATATGGGGACTGTAGAAGGATTCTAATCCGTTATCCCCTACCAACCCCCAGTAAGACTAGCGACCCAAAGCTTTTGCGAAAACAGACTTGTGCATTCTTGCTGCAGTGGTCACAGTGAGGCGACGACAGCAGCTGCAAGGCCTTTTCTTCTTGGCTTGCTGTCCACAGGCATTTAGATAAATGGCGGGGAAAGCAAGCCTAAACCTAAACCCTATATGTTCCTATATAAGCCATATATAACCACTATATACCCCAAACCCCATATATCCCTATATAGCCCATACATAACCCCTATATAAGCCCCCTTTAAAGGAATCAACCTGGATAGTCCCTAAGCAAGCCCAAAGGGCCGCTTCAAGCCAGGGAAAAAGACTGACAGTTTAAGTTTTAGGGTTTTAGGGTTCAGGGTTTACCGTCTAGGGCTTATACGGCTGACATCACCTTCCCGGCAGACTGCATGCACTTTGGATTATCGGGGTCGAGTCCCCTAAAGAGTAGTTTCCATTTTCTTTTCCATTATTCTTATATTATATGACCCCTATATAACCCTAATGTAACCTTAACACAACACTAATCAAACCCTGATACAACCCTAATATAACCCTAATATAGTCCCTATATAAGCCCAATGTAAGCCACTAAAAAGTAAGGGACCCCAAACCCTAAACCCTGAAATTAATGGACCCTTAGTGAGTACTGACAGGAAAGATCTTGGCAACTTGTACGGACCTATGTCGCGAACTGAGTCTCAACGGTGCAAGGACAGTGTGGGCTTCATTCCCAGATTTGCACCTATTGGGGCAATATAGGGGTATAGAGGGCTTTTGGGTGGTTATCTAGGGATGATGGAAAATAAAATGGAAACTACTATAGTACATATATTATACTAGCATATATCCATAATCCCTAATACTGACCCCACATTGCCCTTCCAGTGACCTTTGAACCCCCATATACCCCGATTCCTTAATGAAGAGAAAGCCTTAGCTAAGGCCATGGTCCAACTTGCGCAGAGTGTGCGCAAACTTTCGTCCCTTCCCTACAGAACCTTGTGGCTTCTGAATCCCTAGGGTCCCTACTTGGAGAGTCAGGGGGACTTAGTAACTAGGCTAATAATGGTGATAGTTGGGGTTACTATATGGGTTATAGGAGTTATTAACCTACTTACTACGTCCCCCTGACCCTCCAAGTAAGGGGCCCCCAAGTTGGAGATCCCGAGCTGGCATTTGGCCAAGGGGGCGCGAGGACCCACCAGCTGGTCACTCCTGATGAAGCAGGTGGCATCAAAGCTCCCACTGCTTTTTCTCAGGGGACCGCAATATAGAGTCTTAGAGACGATAATCTTTATCATTATGGGGACCCCAAGAAGGCTCCCCAAAGTTTGGGAAGTTCTCAATAGATGATAACGCAACTGCTTGGATAACCTTTTGCGGCTCAAGGCAGAGGCTTCCCGTTCCAAGTGTTATTCGTTTCGAGAAAGCGCAAGCGACCGCATGAAAAAATCTGTGCGGAGATCCTATTTCTGGGTGGGATGAATGGTATCTGCAGAAGCTAACATGAGATCAACGGAAAGTTTGCTGACGGCCGCTTGCCATGAGTCGATGGTGGCCGTTTAGCCGAAACCAGGAGGAGCAAAGAAAGCATGCAAGACTTGCTAGTTTCCCTAAATAGGGGCACCCCCAATGTAGACCCCAAAATACAATAACCCTTATGATAGGTACACCCAAAATGGTACCCCTAATTTTGGGAAACCTGATGCCTGGCCTGATCCCGTGCAATGATGCATGTCGTTGCAGGAGACAGGCAATGCTTCGCAGGCTCTGATATGAACGGAGTAGAAAGGTTTCTGCGTGTTTCTAGCCTGTGAGGCACGTGCTGCCGTCTCTGCTCCCAGCCGCTCGAGCTGGCTTCCGACCTTCGGTGGCCGAGGCCTAGTATATTGGGGTTATATTGGGGTTATATTGGGGTTATATTGGGGTTATATTGGGGTTATATTGGGGTGATATTAGGGTGATATTGGGGTTATATTGGGGTAATATTGGGGTACTATTGGGGTAATATTGGGGTTATATTGGGGTTATATTGGGGTAATGTTGGGGTTATATTGGGGGGATAATGGAAAAGAAAATGGAAACTACTATATTATAACAGTTTGTTAATTTTTGCTTCGCACTGCAGCCAGTTTGCAATTATTATCCCCCTATAATGGAGAATCAAATGCAAAAGAAAATGGAACATGAAATGGAAACTGGGGGAATATAGGGATTAAGGAACTTAAATTAAGTTCCTATATTGGGAATTATTATGGCCTTTGGCTTCAGCTGTCGCACTCCAGGGGCTGCTGATATTGAGTCGCAACCGAGCGGCGTGAGCCTCCCATCGCTGAGATCCATAGGACTGAGTCGACTCGCCGTCATGCTGAGTGAAGAAATGAGGGATTGTCAAAGGTCCCCTAAATTAGCCCCCGTATTAGGCCCCGTATTATAATAGGGACCCAAAAAGGGACCATAATTTTGACAACCACCCAAATAAAGATGCTGCCGAGTGAAAGGAGGCATAAGCATGAACGAGGCTGAGGAGGTGCAGCTGCACTTGATTTGCCAGAGAAGCACAATTTCTCTTCCGAAAATCCCAATATTATGCCAATATTACCCCAATATTGGGCTTATATTATAGTGGGATAATTGAAAAGAAAATCGAAACTACAAGGATTATAGGGATTATATACGAACATGATTGTCTAAGTGCACTGGTGATGTGCTGGAGAGGCTCTGACGTCAAACTCGGATGTAATGTGCCCATCCATGCTACCCAGCTGCAGTGTCTCGCAAGATGCCAGCCTTCTGGGTGTTCTTACCTTTGGTTAGCTGGGAATGAAGGAATGGAAAAGAACATGGAAGCTACCATACTGTGTTATATACGGACACTATAAGGATCCATTCCTTCATTCCTGGCTAAACAAAGGTAAGTGTTCTTGTTTGAGGACAATTAAACAGCGGATCATCGGCTGGCTCTGTTGCACTCAAGCTGCATGGAATGGAGTTGCTATTTGGTACTGTAGTTTTGGTATATAAGAAAATTCCGATAATTATAGACCCCCAAAATATGGTATCCCTAGTAACCATAAGCAGCCCTTTCAAAGGATTCCGAATTTTCGGAAATCCCCAACCTCTGTCGTTTCTGCACGATGTGAGCCTAACACCAAGCACTAAACTCCTAAGATCCTACTTAACTTTGGTTAGCTAGGAATAAGGACTGGATCCTTATAGCAGTCCCTATATTATAACCCATTATACTACTTTCCACTTTCTTTTCCATTCCTTCATTCCCAGCTAACCAAGGATAACCTCTACATATACCCCGCAGTTTCCATTTCATTTTCCATTCGATTTTTCCATTCTTGAGGTGATATCCTTAAACCCCAAACCCTGAACCCCAAAGGGGGTTCAGGGTTTAGGGGTTTAGGGTTTAGGGTGTTTTACTCTGAACCCCTTAGGCCTGGCACTTGGCCTGCTTCTGGAGTTCAGCGGCATGGGCCGAGGGGTGCGAGCAGTGGTGGGGGGCGAGAAAGCGGCAGAGCGAAGCTTGGGCCAGAAAAGCATTTCGGGGTTATGTAGGGAAAACAAGGTTACATAGGGGTCCTGTAGGGCTTTCTAGGATTCTAGGACGGGGCTATGCCATAATATAAGGTATATAGTATAGGGGGTATAGAGGGTTTGTATAGGGGTAATGGAAAAGAA